TTCTAAGAAGATAGAAGAGCATAAAGTTTATGTTCATTATATGTTACAAAAACTAAGAGATGCAAGATTATATATGAAGATGGAAAAGTGTGTATTCCACACTACTCAAGTTGACATTTTGGGATACATCATTTCCAATGAAGGCCTTATGATGGATTCAAAGAAGGTCCAAACTATCATAGATTGAAAGATCCCAAGAACAGAAAGAGATGTGTGTTAATCATCAAATTGACTCATTGATAATTTTAGAATAAAAATATAAATTTAGAATACTTTAAATCACAATATATAGTGAGTAGTATAGAAATCCTTAGAAAAATAAAAAAATAAGAATATTAGTGGTAGAAATGGAGTCTTAGTAAGTCTTGGAAGCAATCATCCTTGTTAGTTTAGTATTTTTATTTCATTGTTGAATATTAAGGATTATTTATTAAGACCAATATTTATATTGGTCTTATATCTATATATAATACTTATAAAAACTATAAATATTAGTAGTTAGAAGAAGGATGAGAAAGAACCTCATGTCATTTTAATTATTGATATAAAAAATAGGATTTATAGTGGATTTAAATTGATTTTTATTATTGTCAAAAATCATCAAGATAAAAAAATATAGCCTTAAATAGATGTTAGAATTATAGAAATATTATAGTATTTTTCAGAATTTATTTAGAATTTATTTAGTTTTTTTAAAGAATTTTTAGAGCAATTTTCAAGATCTTGGTATAAATGAGTTTTATCACTTTGGAAGCCTTTATGAAGAAATGGAGTAAGATTTAAAGGCATCTCGAGTTCATAGGCTAATAGGGTGTTTTTGAACACCATGGTGAAGTCAAAATTACAAAAATATTGGTCTTCTTAGTAGAAAATAGGAGGACCAACAGCTAGAGTAGTTCTTGTAGGAAGAGGAGTGCACAAGTCCCATATGGATTGTAGCACCTTGAAGGTAGTTAGGAGGATAAGACTAAGGACTTGTGGCCTCTCTTAGGCACCCTTATATACTACATATGTGCCTTGGTGAGGCACAAACCCTTGATCTATAAGCAAGTTATCTTTGAGGTAAAATATTTTCACTTTACTTTTTAATTATTTAATTCATATCTTTAAAACTTCATAATTTACTCGTAGTAATTCGGATTTACATTTTTCTTATGTTATTGAAAAGATATTAAAATTTTATATCTAAAAAAATTCTTTTTATTTTTTATTTTTTACTGGATACAAATATAGTGAACAGATTGTATCTTAGTTTTGGGTGTTGTAATTGCTTCATGTCATTTATTTCAATTACTTTGTGGTTGTTCTTCTTTTATTCTTGTTATTTGCTTACTTCACTTCACACCACTAATTACAAGAAACTCTTAATTGAGGCCATCTTGTAACTTGGATTGAGGAGTAAAAATTTACATTCACAATATACAATGCTTTTTGGACTTTACCAATTATTACTAATTCTTTTTAAAGAACCTTTTTCAAGTTTTAGCTCTACTTATACATTTGACATATAAATACAAACTTGAATGGAATGAAGAAGCTAAAGCATCTTTTATTTCTTTAAAGAAAGAATTTATTTCTATGCCAACTTAGTATCATGTCGACTTTTCTAAGGCATTCTTTATGGTAATAAATGCATCAAACTTTACATTAGGTGTAGTATTGTCACAAATGGGAATAAATGACGAATTTCATCTAATAGCTTTCTATTCCAAGAAATTTTCAACAACCGAGATTAACTATGAGATTAATGATAAAGAAATTCTTGCAATTATGGATTCATTTCAAGAATGGCTTCATTATCTAGAATGCGCTTCAAGTCCAATCACAATATATAAAAATCAAAAGAACCTTAAGTATTTCATATCAACACATGTTTTGAATTGTCGAAGTTCATTAGAACATGTTATTATCAAGATTTGATTTTAAGATTACACATCAACTTAGAAAATAACAAGGTTTATCAGTTGTTTTTTCTAAATGCTTTTATTTTGTACTAAAAGAAAGAAATGTATCTTTTAATCAACAATGAATAATCTACTTGAAGGCAGAGTATTTTCATCTTTGAAGAATGAAATCAACATTGATTATTAATTTGACCTTTATCAAACAAATTCAATCAAGTATGTCATCTAATCTTCTTGTTCATGGTATTAAGAATCTTTCTTCTAAGTTTCATGATATTTCAAAGTTCGAGTTCAAGAACAATCTAATCTACTCTGAAGTATACTTATATATTTCAGAAAGAGAAGTACATTTATGTAAACGTGCAAGCATATCACAACTTTCCAAAAATAAGATATTTTAGATACAACAAGACTTTAAAGCTTAAATTTAGAGATTTTTGATAGTTGCAGATGTGGAAGGCGATAAAAGACTTTGTCTAGTCATGTGATGTTTGTTCAAGATCAAAAACTCTTCATCATCAACTGTATGGATTTCTCCAAGTATTACCTATTTTTAAACAACCATGGTCTTCCATTCATATGGATTTTATTACAAATCTTTCAAGTTCAGGTTCATATGATTTTATCTTCCTAATTATAGATTGCTTTACCAATATGGTACATTTTATATCATATATAAAATCTATTTCAAGTCAAAAAATAGCTAAGCTTTTCATTGACAATATCTATCGCTATCATGGATTGCCAAAAGATATTATATCAAATAGAAAGACTCAATTCGTATTAAGATTTTAGAGAACCCTATTCAAGATTCTAAAGGTAGATATAAAGCTCTTTTCAGCTTCCCATTCTTAAAGTGATAGGCAAACGGAATGGATGAATCAAGTTTTGAAACAATATTTGAGAAGTACTATCAATTATCATCAAGCTTATTGGACAACTCTTTTGCCATTGGTAGAGTTTGCATATAATAATTTGATATATTCTTTGATTTAATAAACACCTTTCTTTGCCAATATAGTTCTCATGCATGATTTGATATTTTTGACTTTTCAAAAATTGATAATCTTATGGCAAAAGTTTTAGCAAATTGTTTGTCACAGTTACATGCAACAATGAAGATACAATTAAAGAAAGCTTAAGAATGACAAAAGACCAACGTGGATGCCTATTACAAGAAACAACTATAATTCAATGTGGATGATAAGGTATGATTACTTCGTCGCAATATCAAGACTACTTGTTTTTATGATAAGTTGGACCATCAAATGGTGAGATCTTTTTCTATTTGTGAACAAATCAATCATATTACTGATCGATTATATCTATTGGAGTCTATGAAGATCTACCCTATATTTTACATATCTCTTCTTGAGCCGTATAAGACAGTGAATATCTCGAGAAGAAGACAAATGCCACCTCTACTTATAGAAGTGGATAATAATCAAGAGTTTGAGGTAGAAGAAGTCTTAGATTCAAGGTGGCGTTAAAATAGGTTGGAATATCTTGTTCATTAGCATGGATATGATATTAGTGAATACACATGGGAGCCAACAAAGAATCTTGCAAATACAACAAAGAAGATTGAGCCTTTTCATCAATGACATCTATTAAAACCAAGTTAAAGAATTACAAGACCATTAAAGATGATGATTGCTCTTAGTAGAACTCGTTTGTAAAAAGGGGGGGGGGATAATATCACAAATATATATATTTATTCCAATAGTTATTTATATAATTAGGTAGAAGTAGGTAAATATAGATTAATTTTATGAAATCTTCTAGAGAAGCTTCTTAGAAGCTTTATAGACATGGTTTTGATTTTAGATGTGTTTGTAGGTTAGAAACTTGGCCAACAAGTTAACCACAAGTTAGTAGCTTGTGGAATAAGCTAATTATGTGGTGCATACATAGATAACTTACTTTGCAAGTTAAGACATGTGGCTAACAAAGTCAACACATGTTAGAGGTCCTATAGAATATTGCCATGTAGCTCTTGGTTAGAGAGTATATATAGAGGCAAGAGTGAAACCTTCTTCACTCTTATCAATGTCTTAGTCTTTAGTCTTATTTTAAGACTTTCTAGTCTTCTTGTTCTTTGGCAATAGCCATTCTAAGTCAATATTATATCATCTTTGAGTGACTATCTAGTTCTTTTCAATAACATAAGAATGTATTGAGGATTCTCTTTCTTTGAGATTCATGTCCTTGACAATTAGCTAACAAAAATGCCATACATTGGCTTTCTAAAGTTCATGCAGTTGATGAAACAAATAATCAATATATAAAATAAGTGGCCAACTTGCCAAGACATTTGTTCAATATGCATAATGTTTTATAATGCTTTTGGATATAAATCATATCTAAGAAGCATTTAAGATGCTACTTGAAAAAAAAAATTATTAAATCAATATTCTTCTACCTATTTCTACTTATTTGTATTTATTTAAGTAATATATATATATATGCATTACTCTTAATTATGAAAATGATAAGACATTGGCACTCATTTAATAAAGTTGTTTATTCTCTTAGTATTTTGTATAACAAAGCTTTTTAAGTATTAACAAATATTTGTCAAACTACAAAACTTCTCAATTTTGTAATAAGTGAGGTACCATTAAAAATATTTATCAAAAAATATTTTTTCTACAAAAATTGTTGGAAATTGAATTTAAACAAGCTTTCATTGATTACATAATAATATTATTGTCAAATAAAGACTTGCATTGACCAGTTTAGAGATATGATATTATAACATAGCTCAAGACAAAATTGTGTTAGATACTATTATTTAAAAAACTCTTCATTACTACCACCTCATTCGGCATAAGATTTCCGAAAAAACACTCGTCTTGCATTGAACTTTTTTTTTGTTGTAAACAATTCATCAGATACCATCTTTATAAAAATCCATCTCCAAATACAAGCGCCACATCAAAACTGAGAAAACCATCGCTCCCAGCAGTAAACGCCCAACGCATGAAATGGATGTGGAGGTGCACGAGATGAATGCACAAACATGAATTCCAGCAACGCATGTTGGTGGAGCTGCCATGGAAGCCTGGTTTCTATCAGAGTCAGAAATGCTAGTTCAGAACTCATAGTTGATGAAGAAGTGGGATGCCGATGTTGTAGCTGTAACTATTTGGAGATGGAGATGCGGTTGGTTGCTTGGCATTCAAGCCTTGCGGACCCATGTAGCTCGGAGATCCACTCGACCCAAATAATGTGGCCTGTGCACTTTTAGGGGTAACTGTAATGGCGTCGTTTCCCTCGGTGTTTGTTTGTGTCTTGCCTATTTTTTCCCCTTTTAAATTTATGCGTTTCCATGTACCTACTACTTTCTGACGTTGCCTGCATTGGCCAAAGTTTTCCCCTTCGTGACAGTTTCTGGGTGCTGGATCCGTGATGGGAACAAAGCTTAACTTGATTTTTGCAATGCTACACAATCTCTGAATGCATGCTCTTCGAAGGGTTCTGTGTTTGCAGTTCATTTGGGAGTGGGTTGTGAGTTGCGATCGAGCCTGCCAGGGGGTTTACTTGAATGGCGCTTGTGATGTGTTTGTTCGCCATTTGGGCTGCGATGAGTTTTGAGGCAGATCGCCTCCACGATGTCGCCTGAGAGCTCCACGCTGTGAATAAAACGTCAGAACGACGAGTGTTTTGGGTGGATTTGAACTGTAGGGAGTTTTGAGGGTTTCCGTTTGCAAGCTCGTTTCTGGCGATACTCACACAAATTCACGTTGCTTGAGATGCAAAGCGATTGGAAGTCTGCTCGTCTTGTTCATCTTGGTTTTTGTGATTTCCCTCCTGTGTGTGAATCTTCCAAAATGTTTCACCAGAGGGTCGGTGATGACGGTTTAGAACCTGCTATGCGGATTTGTGTTTTATCTTTGTGCTGAAGGTGCTGTTTCAGTAGGGACTTGACGTCCGTGAGATGATTGTCGTTGGAAACCTGGAGCTGCCGAGATTGGGTTTGACTTTGAAACATTTCAGCTTGCTTTGAAGGCTATTTCAGCGCTGAATCCATGTTTGTTGGGTCTACGCCAAGGGCAGGTTAGGAATGAAGTTCTTACCACATTGTTAAAAAGAGAGAGAGAGAGTGAGATGGAAAATGGAGGACGCCGCCACGGCGAGGCAGTGCATCAGGATATAGAGAATGGAGACGCATCTCCAGTTGTTGGTGCTGATATAGCGGCTGTAGATCTTTCGTCTTCCCTTCGTGCTCCAGTCCAGCAGCATTCCGCTGGGCGATACACCCCTCGGTTAGTTGCTGCATTATGACTTAAAGCAAAGGACTATGACCTCTGAATTGTTCGGTAATTGTTTATCTCACCTTAGTAGGTTGAAGCTTGGTTGAAATCGAGAGACCTAGAATGAGAGATGGTTTGATGTGTTTTTTTACTGGGAGCAGATCGTTGCCGTCAATTCGAACTCGGGAATCAGAGAGTCAGAAAAAAGTTCAAAATGACGATGCCGATGTTGAAGTCTTCGATCGGATTGAAAGAGAAACTTTTAAGCTAGAGCTTTATCACAGTGACCCCTTCGTTGATGTCAGAGGGCTCAAAAGGTGACTTTCGATGGACATCCTAATCGTTTGGTTTCAAAACCCCCACTACATGCTGACAATAAAACATAGTCAAGTTACATTTTGATAACTGGATTTTAAAAATATGGTTGTGTGCTTTTGAACTTGATAACTTTTGCCTTTTACAATGTAGAACCTTATGGTATAATCGTGGGGGTTTTCAGTTTTCTTTGTCCCCTTGTGATGCAGTATGGGAGGGCAGCAGCATGCAATGCCCCATAGTCCCAGGGATCCGGAGGATTACTCGATGGATGTTGATGGCCCTAGCGATAATCCAGGTTATGTATCCTTGTTTATAGAGGTATGAAATGAAAGTACTATTTCAGTGTCTGTTCTTCGTCGGTTTGCATACTGGAAATACTATGCTTCTGCCTAATTTTCCATGATATCTCACTCTCATCTAGGTCTTGAGAGTTTTGTTAAAAACTGCATTTGCACATGCTTTCAAGAGGATTCTCGAATCTGCAAAGTTTGTGATGCGGGGGAAAGTTGATGCTCCTTCTCTAAAGGCAGCAGAAGTTGCTCGTTTATCGCTTGGAATGGGCTACTATCCAACTTTATTTAGGTTAATAAACTGTCCCCTTAGAATTCTGGTGTACAGACTGGACATGGTAGGGTCATTTTGATGCAAGTTGATGAATATTCTATATTCATGCATTCAACAATGCATGAATTATTTCCCTTCTTGACGATCCTGACAAGGTTTTTGGAGTGAGTAACGTTCTCGATCAAATCTAGCCAGGGCACGTAAGCCAAAAGTATTGGATTCACATTCGTCCAGTGAATTCCTCGCAGTGAGTTTTGCTGAAGGCTAATTCCATAACAAGTACACTTCTGTTTACGTTGCAGACTCAAATGGGGAAGATGGGAACCTTCATGGGTGTTTTTATACCATGTTTTCAAAACATCATGGGCATCATCTTCTATATCCGATTCACATGGTAAGAATATACTGTGGATAGAATTCAAGTAGATGTAGTATTACTACCATGATCTTCATTGGGTTGTACAAAGTATTAATCTCCGTAACTTTTCTCTTCACTCGTTTCATTTGGATTATATGGAATGATTTGACGTGCTGGGTCGTGTATATATACTATGTTCATTACTACAGGTATATCACAATATTGCAGAGCATGAATTTGTGATCGGTTAAGTATTGGTCATTTGGCAGGGTTATTGGAATAGCTGGCATTTGGAACAGCCTCTTGCTTGTTTCTTTCTGCTGCTTTTGCACGTTTCTGACTGCTATTTCCCTCAGCGCTATTGCTACCAATGGAGCCATGAAGGTTTGTTGTCGTTTCCTAAGCATTTACGAATTAACACGCTTGATTGAGACTGTATTTTATAGTGGAAGTGGTTGATCTAATAATACACAATGCATTTGAGGTCAATAATATTGCACTTACTGCCTGGCCACTTGCTCACATTGCTATTTGGAAGGAAGTTACATCAGAATGGAATTAATGTTTCCTTAATTCAGGGTGGGGGTCCTTACTACCTGATAGGACGGGCACTTGGTCCTGAGGTTGGTGTGAGTATTGGTCTCTGTTTCTTCCTTGGAAACGCTGTGGCTGCCGCAATGTGAGTATAAATTGGCTTTTTCTTAACCGTATAATCTTCGTGTAACATTTCTGCAATTTCTGCAATTCTGCAAGTTTTGATATTTCGTAGTGATGTTGCTGTAAGTAATTTGATTATTTTCTAAAAATTCCGTCTGTGAAACGTGTTTTAACAACATCATCATCATCTTGAAATTTTTGTACTACAAGAATGTGATTAAAATTATTTGAAAGCACGTAGGTATATTCTGGGAGCTGTGGAGACCTTTCTAGATGCCATCCCTGGCGCAGATCTTTTCAAGCGTAAGCCCTTGAATCTTCTGCCATTGATTCAAGTTTAGAATGACATATGGATAGTGATAATTTTTCAGATTACCCAGTTTCTGAGTTAATTTATTGCTCTGCTAATCCTGAGTCTCAGCATCAGCAGGAGTACTCAGGATTAAATTGAGTACACTACGAGAGAATCTCAGAAGTGGAGATTTTCTGAGATAGTTTATTGCTCTGCTGATCCTGAGTTCTTTCGTTGTAAAACTTGAACTTACCGTATTGGTAAGGTTTATGGAATTTTTAAACTCAAAAGTTCTTGATTTGTGAAGTTAAGATCAAGAATGTTGTCGTTGGCACTCCGAGTTATTGATCAGAATGGGAAATGGTCCTAATTGATATTTAAATCTCGTACAAATGTTTGGTTTTCCTGTGACAGGAACTGTAACTGATTTGTATGTCGCGCCCTCGCCAGCGGCAGTGCCTGAAGTACTGTACACTCCTAGTATACATGACCTTCAGGTCTATGGTCTCATATTCACAGCTGCACTCTGTGTGATAGTGTTTGGTGGGGTCAGAATTATCAACAGGGTTAGCCCAGCATTTTTGATTCCTGTGTTTCTATCTCTGTTCTGCATATTCATTGGTATTTTTACAGCAGGTCGGCACAGTGATTCCAGTACGACCATTCACCTTTTTCTTTCTTCTCTTTAAATATTTCGTTTTGAAAGATGTGTTCTTATAGTTCAGGATGACATTTCTTAGTAGTTGGAACTGTGGTTGGATGTGAAGCTCCTTTAGAAGTGACTTGAATTTGGACGTTAGAAATGAATCTTATTTCTTTCTACTTGAGATACTCCTGAGTGCTGGTAGGCTATCGTAATGTTTATTTTCAATGATACTGTACAATGAAATTTAGTAGATACATTCAGTATAGATGTTATTTAGTTCGCATTTTTTAGTTTGTAAAACTGTTTTTCTTTTAATGATGCATACAGCTGGGATAACGGGACTTAAATTGAGTACACTACGAGAAAATTGGAGTTCTCGCTACCAATTTACGAACGATGCAGGGATACCAGCTCCTACTGGTTTCTACTGGGATTTTGAGTACGTTGTTAACTTGGAATTTGTTTCTGTATCGTCGTAGTTGAACGAGGACCAAGTTTGGGGGATTTAATGAATCGATAGAATCAAGTCAACCTTATTTTGGCTGCAAGGTCTATCTACACACTAAAATGTTTTATTACTCAGCGCAATTCAAGCTTGATGAAAATCCGGAAGGGGCTGAATGATTGCAGGAGTTTACTCGGCTTGTTCTTTCCTGCCGTCACCGGAATCATGGCGGGATCTAATCGATCTGGTTCACTCAAGGATACTCAACGTTCTATACCTAGAGGAACATTATCTGCTATTGCTGCAACTACCACTCTGTATCTTGTTTCTGTTGTAATGTTTGGAGCTGTTGCTTCGCGAAATGAATTGTTAACTGACAGGTGAACCGTACAATTTTTTTTTTTTTTTTTTTTTTTTTTTTTTTTTTAAATTCATGTCTTCTCTTTCCTATCTCGCTCTTGTTGCATTATGTGTATTCAGTTAGAATAATTGTCGAAACGCACTCCTACCTCCACGGACCCTGAATATTTTTTTGCGAAGACATAGTGTAAGGAATTGAACCATTCACCGAAGCTTTGTTTGTTTTGTTTTGTTTTGTTTGTTTGTTTGTTTGTTTGTTTTTTTTTTGTTTTGTTTTGTTTTGTTTTGTTTTTTTTTTTTTTTCAGACCTCAAAGTATGCTCCAGAGATTTTCAAGATCCCTTCCTTTCAAATTCTAATTCGTGTTTTTTTTTTTTTTTTTTTGTCTCTAGGTTATTGACTGCAACAATTGCATGGCCAGTTCCATGGGTTGTCCAAGTTGCAATTGTTCTTTCTACACTTGGGGCAGCTCTACAGAGTCTGACTGGAGCTCCTCGACTGCTTGCTGCGATTGCCAATGATGACATCATCCCTGTGCTGAAGTATTTCAAAGCGTCTGATGATGAGGAGCCTTATTATGCAATGATATTCACCATGTTCATTTGCGCTGGCTGTGTCGTCCTCGGCAATTTAGATCTTATCAGTCCTGTTACTACCATGTTTTTCCTGCTTTGCTATGGGGGAGTTAATTTGTCGTGTTTCCTCTTGGACTTACTTGATGCACCTAGTTGGCGACCTAGATTCAAATTCCATCATTGGAGTCTTTCACTTCTGGGTGCTCTTATATGTATCGGTAAGTTATCCGACTTTTCTTCTATTTTTTACATTACGCTCTCCATGTTCTTTGGTCCTTCATTTACATCTACAAAATATCAAGAATCCTACTCAATATCTCCATTCACTTCATTCAGAATGATGCTGTGATTTCTTGTTCAAATTTGATACCTCATCATGTAATTGTCAGTCACTGGTTCTGTCTGAGGTTATCAATTCATGGATCTTGGACCCCTTATGCTTCATTTCCCTCATTCCTTGTTTGCAATCACGCAGTTATAATGTTCATGATATCTTGGGTATTCACAATAGTCGCTGTAGCACTTGCCGCGCTGCTGTATTGGTATGTCAGTATCAAGGGCAAAGGTGGTGACTGGGGAGACGGCTTCAAAAGTGCCTACTTTCAACTTGCGTTGCGTAGTCTCCGGTCGCTAGGAGGTACTCAGTTATTGTGTATCCGATATTTTCTTAGCCGAGAACACTTTGTTGCCTTTCACTTTTCATCGATTGTGTGCTCGTAATGCCAATTATCTAGCAAGTGAGTTAGTGGTTCTGGTTGTTTTGCGTAATGATATAAGTTTCAATTGCCACACTTGTCGTCTTATTATCTCTAACCCCATGTGTGCTATCATTCATCGCTTTCTCTCTGCTGGTATCTAATGCAGCCACACCAGTGCATCCTAAAAATTGGTATCCAATTCCTCTCATCTTCTGTAAGCCTTGGGGTATTCTGCCCAATGATGTACCATGTCACCCCAAGCTGGCTGATTTCGCTAACTGCATGAAGAAAAAGGGGCGTGGTATGTCCATATTTGCGTCAATTCTAGAGGGAGACTACGAGGAGAAAGCGGAGGAAAGTCGAGTGGTATTATCCCGATTCCTTGAAGTGAAGTTTACGATATCTTTAATTACTGTTGTACAGATCAAGTTGCATGAGTTTACTAAATAAGAGACTTGGTACTATGCTCATCAGCGATTGAGAATGCATATGTTTACATTGGCTTTTGTAATGCGTAGAAAGTGGAATAATGCGTTGTGAATGAATTAGAATATTACCTAGGTCAATGTTGCTATTGCTATTTGTGATCATTTGGATTATTAATTCGTGACAAATATTGCTTCTCCTGTGACAGGCTTGCCAACTTCTTTCCACTTACATCGATCACAAGAAATGTGAGGGAGTTGCTGAGGTTATTGTGGCTCACAACATTATTGAGGGGTTCCGCATTATTGTTCAAGCCATGGGGCTTGCAAATTTGAAGCCCAATATTGTGTGTATGCGCCATCCTGAGATATGGAGGGACCATAGAAGCAGCAATATTCCAGAGAACTTTGTCAACATTATTAACGATTGCTCATTGTCTAACAAAGCAGTTGTTATAGTCAAAGGTCTGGATGAATGGCCTGGAGAGTTCCAAAAACATTACGGAACTATTGACCTTTACTGGATTGTTCGTGATGGTGGTCTTATGCTGCTTCTATCCCAGTTACTTCGTGCTAAAGATTGCTTTGAGAGCTGTAAGATTCAGGTGAGTTTCAACTGCTTTTCTGTGCTGTAGTAATCAATCCTTTAAAATCTACGCTCTTCGTTGCTGATTGAGCAAATAGCAGGCCAATATTTAGCTGACCAACAAAATCATTAAGACTCACTAAAACCCTGTTGACAGGTGTTCTGCATTGCTGAAGAGGATAGTGAAGCGGATGAACTGAAAGCAGATGTGAGAAAGTTTTTGCACGATTTGCGTATGCAAGCTGACGTTATCATAGTGACAATGAAGTCTTGGAAAGATCACCAACAAGATGCCCAAGTTGCTGAATCATCAGGACGGGATAATGCCATGGAAAGCTTCTCTAAGGCTCGCAAGAGGATATCTCAGCATAATGCTGAATCCTTAAAGAAGGCTGGAAGCAGCAGCAATAACCCCTCTCATCCAGCCATAGATACGATTGATGAACAGCAGGTGAATGCGATTGCCTTTCCTACTTTGATATTGTTTTTCTTCTCAAGTGCAATTTTATTAGTCGTGTTGCAGGCATTGATTGACAAATATTATAGCCTTTCTCTTTGTTAAGTTGAAAGCAGGCCCTGGCTTCACGCATTTGCACTAAGGTCAAGCGGGTAGATTCTATCGGAAGTTGATTCCCTGCTAATTTTTCATGGCTAAAAATTGTGCTGCTTTGGACAGGTGAATAAATTTTTGTACACGTGCTTGAAACTGAACTCGATTATCATGCGTTATTCAGTATCTGCAGCTGTTGTTCTGGTCAGTCTGCCTCCCCCTCCCCCGTATCATCCCCCGTATTGTTACATGGAGTACATTGATCTTCTTGTTGCGAGCATCCCCAGACTGCTTATGGTCCGTGGGTACAGCCGAGATGTCGTAACTATCTTCACCTGAAGTTAGCAGTAAACGCCCCAGCTCGCCACTTAGCTAACTTCTCCTTGTGGATCCACCACTTCGGATTTGGTGCAATTGAGGTTATTAGCTTGGCAAGGTCGACTAGTATAGATGGATCTCACATTTCGGTTGCAATCATTAAAAGACCTTCTCAGAATTCAAATTCTAGGCGTACATGTGGACTGTTCTCGCATTCACTAGGTGTACTGGCTCGTGTATAGCCATCGACCATTGTGAGGTGCAGTAATTTAATTTTTCTCTCCAGTGCTACTGAAAAGAACCACATGGGAAGTTCATGACAGATCTTCCTGTTACAAAGTCGGAGGATCTCCCACCCTGGTCCTGTTTTAAATGGTTTACAGAGCGAGCGAGTTTACGAATCTTTTAGCATCAATGTTTTGATTTGAAAAGCTCCTTCATGATTTTGTTCTAACTTGTTAATCATTCTATAGACGCACTATTTGGACAGGAGCTGGTTATGTTCATGAAGTTTTTAATTGGCAACGTTTTACTATTTTTTCTAATATATTATCCTTAGTTTTCACCAGTATTCATCAGAGCATTGAGATGGGGTAAAAATATTATGCTGCTTTGTTGTTTGAATGATTGTTGTAAATGTGTGATGTATGTGAATCTGTCACTCGTTGTACAATTTATTACGAATTATAAACTATAGGTGCTGTAAATGAACAACAGCTGCTGTTATATTATAGTGCATGTGAGCCATTCATAGACATCAGTACAAGTCCTTTTTAGTGGGCGCAGTGATAGTGCATGAAATGGTAGACATCCTTCTGGCTCTGGAATTTGGATTTGGGGAGTTGAATGAAATGGTTACCCAATTGGGTTGAGGCAATTACTCTGAAAGTTGGTGTCGAACTTGAATAAAGAAAATAATATTGCAATGGTGGGTGTTTTGTGAACATATGCCTATTTAACCGCATGAATTTGTGGGGTTGGGACCGTTGGTCGGGGTGTGAGTGGGATCTCATTTCTTTCGGCATTTTGGCTACGATCAACTGTTACGTGTTCATTTCCGTGAAATTCTATGTATATTTGTCATCGACCCTAACGTTACCAGTTTAGTCTTTTATGGTGCATGTAGCCTGGTTCCTGGTTCCGCAAATCTTGCGCTGCCTCCTTGACCAGAATTGTCCTCTCTCCTTCCCAGAGAAATGTCGTAGCGTGGAAGTATCACTATTCTCCCTCGCTCGGCCTTCCCATTACTCAACAACTTGATCGCGAACCAAACCAACAGGTGCACCAGGGATCCACTCTCACAACATATGACATGGATTTGTCAAACTAGAATTACTGAGAGCATTGGCAGTTATTTTGGTAACAGCGTTAAACCCCCGATGCTCCTGCACAGTAGTGTAAAAGATATCTCTCGTAGAATAGATACGCAACAATTTCGAATGCTCCCACATTAAACAATTAGGAGAAATGCTTTCTTGTAGTTCTAGGTCACGACACGATTTGGTTACCTCCTATTCCTTGCCCTAATACTCGCACCACCTCAGAAAAGTTATTGTAAGGTCGGCGGAATTGCAGCCAGAGCTTTCTCACTCTCAGCATTGCTCAGCACCAGCCCATTGGACGGATCGCAAAGGACAGAAATCTACACGTGTTTGCAAATAATTTCTTCCAGGTCCCTTCCTCTCGCAGTTATCAACATCGAATGTCCAAAGTGGAAAAAGAAACGAAGCTTTGATTACAGCACAAATGCATGAAGGCAATAACATTGAGGGTGCAACAAGCATGCACGGAAGTCGATGAACACATGACCCATCGTATCTCACCAGGTTCTCAAAACAGGCTTTTATATGTTGTATCAGTTGAACTATCAATATTCGGAAGACAAGTAATGTTTATGTTGCTATCTGATCGCATTTGTAGGTAGTAGGCTCCTGCAAACATCGGCATCGCCGACCATTCGAGAGCATCAGCGCCATGCAACTTGAGCAGGATCATATAATATCCGCAGTAGAAAAGGTCACGGTAACAGGAGGAGGCAGCCCAAGAGCGCCCCATTAAGACCCTATAAGCGGGGAGGTTTCCGTGGAGATCATCCGACCTATACATATCCTATCCAAAGTTTCACGAACAATTTTTAGCTGAATTGACTTGTTTTATGCTTTGTGCGAGTTTCGCTTGAGATTATGGGTTTTAGCGAGGCGTGCGTTTTCAGAATGAGAATTTGTGGAGAGCAATCAGAGGTCAGGAAGGTCTGTCAACAGTGAGGGTTTGGAGTCTTTCCGCAAACTGGAGCTCGTCCTCGGTAGTCATGAAGGTTGCAATGCAGTATCTGGTTCCGCATGTTATTGTGTTTACAAGTGGAATCACCAAATGCTGCACATCCTCCCGACTACGCCCTCTCCATGCTTTGTGTAAAACTCCTAGTTCATCGTTCCTGGTAACCAGAGATTTACGCTGGGCTTGCAATTCAGTGTCAGGTATGAAAACGCTTTGGAGTGCATCAGGTTGAGATGTACATACTTCCGTTTCGTCAATTTTGTAGAATACAAAGGAATTTCTTAGGCAGTTTGAGGGGGGGGGGGGGGGGGGGGGAGGTAAAAAAAAAGGGGGGGCCTTTTAATGGCTTGTGAATCTTTAGTAAGGAGTTGTGATTTTCCAGGTTGTGAGGGAAGTGCAGTGCCTCGTTATACAAGGGTTCGTAGCTTCTCTTTGGATCAGCTGCGACTAGTCACATCCCAAAGCGTAACTATCGATGAAGCCCCTGAGGTGCAGATAACGGGTGATGGCTTTTCCGCGGCCGACGAGCAGCCGCAATCAAGTATCGATTCTGAGTCAAAACCCAAGGTTCCCATCTCCTATCTTACTCCACGAGGGGGGGATGGGATATAGTTACTTAAATTTGCGAATTCAATTGGGGGACCAAAAGAATTCCTCTTCGCTAAGCCGAGGGTACTGGAAAAGGAATGGTTTCAAAACGTGGTATTGGTTTGAAACAGATTGCTGTGAAACGAAGGGACATCGGTGCTTTCCAGCAACTTCCAGTAGTTTCCCCAGGAATTGAAATTCTGGGAACTGCATTGAGGCGGACGAAGATGATCAAACCCACGAAAGGTTTTTTGGCTCAACTTTGTCTGTTTCGTTCTTGACTACATTCTGGGGAGCTGGTAGTTATTTTTGCCGCTCGTCTGGGTCAAGGGTTTAGGGTTTAACGAAGCGGTTTTTGCTTCAGTGGTCTGGCTCGCGTTTATTCCTCTCCATATTCTATAGCATTTGAGAGTTTGCAACTTGTAGCAATTTGTGATGAGTGCGTCCTTAACCAGGAATACAGAATGCTGCCAAACGGGAGCGGAATCGGGGAGCCAAGCAGTTAGATGCTCTAACTAAGGTGAGGATTTTTTCTTTTAAACAAATAAATATCTTTAGATTTTTCAAAGCTTTTTCTACACTGTGTGTTGCAGTTGTGGAACCACACCTCGGAGCTGATTTGGTGTAACTAACTCTCTTTGCAGGAGCTGACTATTCCTCTGAAAGGGTACGTGAAGAATTTTCCAGAGTGCCAGCAGCTACATCCTTATGAACAATCGCTTCTTGAGCTCACACTTGGGCCAGGCACTTATGAAGAGGTTGTTGACCTTATTCGACTTTATATTCTATATTATACAGTCTATAATGCTAGATATGCTCGATAGTTACGTACTGTAGCTGTGAATGGATATAGCATCACGAGTTAGGTACAAGATGATTGCTTAATAAACATTAGTCTGGCGGTTCGTATGAATTACCTATTGCTTCACCAAGTATTTTCGGAGCTTTGATAGAGTTCACCTGCTTTGATTAGGTGCTGGACAGCTCTAGCCTGTTATGTAGGAGTAGGTCCTGGTTGATGACAGCAAGTATCTTGTCCTTTATGCAATGCCGAATGTCATTTAACTCTAGCTGCCCTTTCTTCATTTTTGACACCTATTTATATGGCCTTCGTAGTGACCTAGATCATGATCTCAGATTCTTTGTATGAAATGATTTATATCTATTGGTGATCTTGAGTCGCGATATTGGATGTCCAATTTCTTACGAGGGTTAGATTGTTTTCGTGCTCTAGACTTTACGACGGGTTGATCTCTTGCGCAAGAGGATACTCGATTACGGGAAGAATTGTGCTTCTCTTTGCGCTAAGGTATGTATGGTTTCGACACCATTTGTAGGTTAATGAAGGATATACCGTTCATGTGCATACTTGAGATATGTCGATTCGATTCGTTATGTAGTGATGAATTCATATTTTAATGCTGCTAAAGACGTGTCGTTGTTTGTGCTCTTCCTTGCAGTCAACCAGCAAACGTGAGGCTGAAGAGCGGTTGGAAGAGGTATGACTTAAAATCAAGTGCTTATATCGTCTGCTACATATTTCTTTTCATTACATTCTGTGAGTGAAGTCAAACTCTTGCCCACGGTATCCAAACGCAGCAAGAAAGTTCGATTCAAACTTGCGTTGTTGATTCTTTTGGAGTGACTTGTTCAAGTGCAACCTTATGCAACAGGGAATTACAAAGCTTGAAGACATGTTCAAGAGGCATGGGAAGGCCGTTGATGACTTAAAGGAGATTGCAAAGGTTTTTCTTTCGCTTGCCTGCCAACTTCGTTATAAACATCCATATCTGGGTTATTCCGTTACCCTGTGTACATTTTACAGGTCATGGGCAATGTTCTTACGAGCGATTACATCAGATTCATAACGACAAAATAGTGATGCTGTACTTTTTCATTTATTCATTTTTTAAAATTTTTCTGAATGCACTTCTTGGTATTGTGCTTATTGACTGTTTGGGCTATGCTAAATTCTGCTGCTAGGTCTTAAGAGCAATGCCTGTAGTGCATCCTCGCACACCTACAGTATGCCTTGTTGGAGCTCCTAATGTTGGCAAGTCATCACTTGTACGAATACTTTCGTCTGGTAAACCAGAGGTACAGCTTTAGCTCTTAGAAACTTATGTTGTGCTTAATTGAAAGACTAAACTCAAGTCATATGTTTAACCTACGGTGCACTATTTTCCCCCTAACATGTTGATGTTTCAATGGAAGTTTCTGGTTATATTTCATAGAGAACCTGGCTACTACAATACAAGCAATCTGATTTCCTTGTTGCCATACTCTAGTTGCCTGGCTCAAGTTAAAAGCAGTTATGGTGGTTTTCAGGTTTGCAATTATCCATTCACAACAAGAGGCATATCCATGGGCCATTTTTTTGTAGATTCTGTTCGTTATCAGGTATGTGTATCTGCAAGTAGTGAGTTTGCCTTGTATCTTAAATGGTGGTACTGCTAAAGTTTATCTTCGTGTTTTCTTTGGCCAGTGCATGTTGCCGCACAGTGAAATTTTTTTTGTCATTTTTGTACGCATAAGTCTTGCTTGACGTAAATAGAAGCTTTATTATCAGGTACTTCTGTTGAAGAAACTCTTTTTGAAGCACCGCTACTACAAATACTTGAACTAACAAAAAAAAAAAATCGTTGCTGTCATCACAGGTGACTGATACTCCGGGGATATTGAACCGCCCTGATGGTAATAGTTTGTAAAGATTATACGTTAAGAAATTAGTGGTCTTTCGGTTAAATATTGATATGGAAATTATTTGTTTAGTTACAGAAAGTCCCGAGCAGATGGTAGTGCTTTTGAGTGCATTTTTATGAAAGTGATTGCAAGACTCAAGCTTACACAAGGGTTGTCAACAGATGAAAGGAACAACATCGAGAAGTTGACACTTGCTGCCCTAGCGCATCTACCAACAGCTGTTCTTTATGTCCACGATTTGACTGGCGAATGTGGTACAACGGTCTCTGACCAGGTACAAGTTTGTCGATACGAGAAATGATTATCAATATGTCCATTATATGTCTTGATTTCGTGTCTTTGGTGCATCTGATCGCCCGACCCAAGTTCTGAGATCGCCACTAATTCTTCTTTGCCTCATTGGTTTGTTCACAGTTCTCGATATACAAGCACATTAAAGGACTGTTTCCTGAACGTCCATGGTTGGATGTTGTCTCCAAAGCCGATCTGTTGGAAACTCCTCCAGCACACATCCCTGCCTTGGAGGCAGAGGCATATGTGTTGGTGGGTCCTGCTGGTGCCCTAAGAGTGTCCACGCAAACAGAGCATGGCCTTGATGAGGTACATCCTACGCTAGCTCAGGGCTAGTTTTTTTTTTTTTTCTTCTCCAGTTAGTCGCAATCGAGTTATATGTTAAGTTTTTGTTCACATTATTACCTTTCTACATTCTAATTTTCCAAAATCATGAAACACCAATGACTAATCAACATATTGTTCCAGCGCTAATTATTACCTTCTCACGTAATCATGGTGCTTGTGCAGCTGGTGCGAAGAGTCCACGCTCTCCTTTCTGCACACTCAAAAACGCTTCGTGATGAAGCTGGTGAAACCCTACCTCAGAAGATGTCTACATCTTCTCCTTCCGACAAAGACCCAGCAACGCCTTTCTATTTTCCAGCATGGCCACATGCTCAAAATTCATAAACGTAGTAATTCTTTAGTAATTTCTTTTGGTTGGTGAAGAGCCATTATCAAGGTTTGTTCACATTTTTCAGGCATATGGATAGTATAATGCTCTATGATCTTATAATCATCCATTGTTTTAGCAGTAGGACTTTATTCAATGATTGGAATACATCATAGAGAAAGCAGTGTCCATCTTGAGAGATAGATAGACTGTTTTGATGAAAATGCCGAGTCATTGTTTTATGTGGTGTTGATAGTTGGGCTGTTAATTTTAATACAAGCAACGTGAAGGTTCTGTTGTTTATACATTAAGGAAATCTTTGAAGTCACAAAAGTAGTTGTAGACATAAAAACATGAAGCATTGTATTCTTATTAATGTTTAAATTTAAGAGTATTATTATAATTTTTAGTTTAATTTTGAAAAAATGTTAATTTAAGGAAGTTTTCATATTACGAATTTGAGTAGATTGTTTGTCAAATAAAGTGCATAGAATTGACAAACTTCAGTTTTAACAATTGTGTTGTAAAATCACAAAAGAATCAATCTATAAATTTAGAACTTTATTTGCATGTTTTTAAGAAAATACTTTGTTAATAAAATATAAAGCATTCTTTATGTTTAGGGAATAAGATTAGAGGTGACAACTTTAAATTTATACATTGGTTGAAATTAAAAAGCTTAAAAAAGGAATTTATGAATAGGGAAATAAAATTAAAATAATTAGAAATAGTAGTATAATTTTTTTTTACTAACTTTATCTATTGATAGTATATACAATTGTTTTAAAAAAATTGTTGATGAAGAATGAATCAAACTACTTTTTTGACTTTAACAACTAATTGCTCTATAACTATAATAAGAGCGATTTTTATTATTAGAAGTAGCAACAATCATAGGTATGGCAATTATGACCCTTCTTATAACACTTTTTGTAAAGAAGTTGGTCTTTAGGATCAACCTCCTCTTGGCTACACAAACAGATCTTGCACAAGGAACTTGCTTGTCTACTTTTGTAAGGTAGGAGAGTGATATCATTTGCATTGAATAAGTTAGCATCTATAGATACTACAACATCAATATAAACATGATAGAGTGTGCTTGTTAAGTATGTAAAATGAAGAAATGAATTGATACTTTTACGTGACTTCATTGTTCTTGCACATGTATGTATGTAGAAGATTTGGTATTGCTTAGAGTATTTGTAAGAACAAGTTTGATATGCAAGGTCAATACTACTGAAGGTTCCAATGGTGAAGCTTTGGATTTCAAAGATATATGTGTCCATTTAAATCACTTGGCATGTCCGGCCTTCCATAGCCCTCTTCTATAGTTCATTGGTTATAGAGCATGGTGGATCACATTTGATCTAGGCATACTCATTATGGCATTTAAAAAGAGCAAGGCACTAATCTCGCAAACAAGTTAGATGAATGAATAGGACAATTCAGTGTGGCGTGCATTAAGAATCTAAGCATTTGTTGCTTCTACCATATTTGATGTGAGTACTATAAAGCATGAGATTTTTGTGTAATTGAGAGTCTAAGTATTGGATGGGATCCTTCTCAAGTATGTGTGCATTTCATAATGCATCTTATTAATCTCTATGATAGCAACCTAGTATGCATTTGTTGTCAATGCTTTTATAAGCGTCCAAATCTTGCCATTAAGTTTTGCTTTAAACTTCTTATTGATGTTCTTTTTAATGTATTAAGTGCAAGCTACATGTACCATATTTAGAAGCTTTATGGCCTTTCTATGCTCTATTCTTTAATAATACCAAGGAACAATATGTCAATTTGTCTTTTCATTGTTTTGATGTTCTAAGCTTATGCTATTACCTATTTTTAATTTTCAATATACCTTTTTACAATTGCCAATTGCAATCATGGTGAGAAAATTTAGAAACAACATTGCATGTACAACTTGCTCATAGAACCATGTCCAATTTTTGGTATTTTTTATTAATACAATACAAATAATAGTAGAGATAAGCTAGTCTTTTCCACTGATGCCACTAAATTCTTCATAGGTGGCTTTTGAATGGATCACATTAACTATGATTATTAAACAATAATGTATAATAACAATCTTCTATGTGGAAGGTAAAAAAATGCCTAATAAAAGTACCTATAGTTGATTATGTTGACCATTGTAGAACTCCCAATGTATTCAATCTATTGTTGGACAAGTAGCTCAACTATTTTTTGAAATCCAAGGTTTTAGTCAACAACATAGTATATTTGATGGACTTCTTGGTTTCTCTAAAATTCCATATACATTATTTTTGCTCCTACTTATATGCTTTACGGTTAAAAATATCATGTAGTTGTGAAGCTTAGATCTCATATGCTAAACGTGTAATAAATTTTATATGGATAAGTTCTTCAAGTCTAAATAACTACAAGAATATGTGGGAGTTTTCATTGTACAGAATAAATATGATTACGTAAAATAAGCCATCTTTGTGTCAGTTCATAGAAATAAGGAAGATGCATCAAAGGCCATCATTTGATATAAATAGGCAGATTACAAGCATATGTTTTTTTATTTTATTGTTCTAAACTGATGTTAAGTAAATGTTCTTAGAGAATAAAAGTCCAATGTTTTGTGGAACTCCTTTGTTGTAAAAAATATGATACCAGTATTAACAACTCCATTCATAAAGACTAAAGAATAAAGAATAAAATCAATAAAGATTAAGACCAATAAAGAACAAAACAATGATAGTTGGATACTTCCAACAATACCAAATCTCTTGTATCTAAGTATGTGCATAAGCAATGAAGTTGTAGAAAAGTGACAATTTGTTTTTTTATTCCTTGTACTTAATCAGTACACTTTGTTAGATCTATGTTGGTATTCTAATGATTGTAGATGTGGAAAAATTCAATGTAGATGGTACTACTCTTTTATCTTGCAAAATTAGACAAGCAGACCACCCTTGCAAGATTAGTATTTGTAACTGAGGAGAAGTTGATCCTAAAGACTAGCTCACTTATAGAAAGAGTTATAAGAATGGTTGCAATTGCTATACTTGAGATTATTGCCACCATTAATAATAATAATTGTTTTTATTATAGTTGTAGATTAATTAGTTTTTAAAGTGAAAAAAGTGGTGTGTTGGATTGTTCAAAAGAAAATCTTTTTTCTAGACTATTATAAATATTGTCAATAAATAAAGCAAACAAGCAAAAAAAAAAAAAAAAAAAATGTTCCTCTATTTTTAATTATTTTAATTTTATTCTCCTACTTATAAATACCTTCAAATTTGTTCTTGTATTTGGATATCATTCTAGTTTAAAAGCTATAATTATTATATATATATATATATATATATATATATACACACATATGAATGTGAGGTTAAATGCGTTCTTTTTAAATGGCATGAGTAATTTTTTTCTTTAGATTTTATGGTAATCCTACTTTAAGAAGCAGTTTTGACAAAAAAAAAATCAAGTTATACAAAAAAATTGTTAAAAATAATCATTATATAATTTGTAAAGTCAATATAGTTTTTAGAATTAAGTAAACTTTTACATTTAGATTTACAATAAAATAATGATATGACTCATTCCATGGCCTCAATTCACGTTTAGTTTTCTCCAAAAACTAAGGTTACCAAAGAAGAGTTTTTCTTCACCAAATGTGAAACCTCTGTAAAGTTTTTGTACCATGACCTTTTAAAATGGACTTATAGGTATAAAGACCCCTCAAGAAGAGTACCACAATTTTATTATTATTATTATTATTATTATTTGATATTATTATTATTATTATCATATTGAATATTGTAATATTATTTAAATCCAGATTCTTTATGTGAAAAGATATCAGACCTTCAGAAAGAACAACAATAGAACCATGAGATCCAACCCAAATGGGGAACCAGGGGTTCCCTTCGTTTCCAGTGCCATTTCCGCATAATGCAGAGGAAGGGGACAGCATTGGGAACATGCAATCCCTATGCTTTCAGCGCCACACCACGCAAACACAAAGCCAAGATTTAGTTTACACTTGTAAACAAAGTAGTGCATCCCAGCGTAGCCAAACCCACTCTTTGCATTCGAAGAGAATCTTGAGAGGATCGAAAGCAAATAGAAAATGCTTCTAAACTATGCATGTTTAGAATCAAACCGAAGGAAGATGGGAGGAGAATACAGCCACCATCGCTGAAGTTGGCAGATAGAGATGAAGGTTTCGCCCACTGTTAACTACGCAGCCAAGTCTTAACACTGCAGTCCAGGTTGTTGAGTGAAATGCAGCTGAAGTCTTCGTCAGCTGGTGGTCATTTGGCGGGACCTTCTCAGATTTGTTTGTGAATTCGATTCCGGGTGTCTCAATTCCTCAACAATCGCACGCTCACACCATCGCTTCTCGATCTACCCTCCAGCTCCCAAGTGCAGTGCATATCCGGCCTTGTTAGGACCTGCTTGGAGCTTTGGACGTACACATCGCTACTTGACGCTGATCTAGGTTGCTAGCAGCTCCTCCTTCTCTGCAACAGTCATCACTCCAATGCCAAGCGTTTGACGTTTCTGGGTGGTGACTGTCTCTAGGCGCGTCTTCTTCTCACTTTCTTGAATACATCACAGAGTCGACCTTCACAGTCTCTTTGGTGATGCTGCGCTTCGTGAGTTGAGTTCCCACTTTCCAATGATCCATCGTCTCTGAGGTTGTTTGAAGAACGTGCACAATTTTTTTGGTTGTTGCAATGTTTTCAAATGGTTTCGCGGTTTTTATGTGCAACTTGCTGCTGGTGCTTGAATCTGCAATGTAATGCTTAGAATAGCACGTCAAGCTTTGACTTCTTTTCATTCTTTTCACGACATGTTTCGTGTTTGCAGTCCTTATTTTCGCTGGGGCCTGCAGGGAGGAATTCAAGCAAGTTTCAGGGCAGGGCTTTGTGACGTTTAGTGCCAAGAAACAGCTATGGCGACGCTGCAGAGGCAGGCACTAGAGATCATCCCAGCAGACATCGGTGAAGACGAAGCTGAGGCCCAGATGGTGGTGCGCGACCCCAGTCGTCAAGCCTTGGTGCCTTCCAAGCATATTGCTCCCGAAAGTGAGGGAATAGAAGCGGTGAAGCCCAGAGTAGGCACCACCGGCCCAGCAATAACTCCATCGGAAGGTCCTCACGTCTAGCTTAACAGTGGTCACGGCTCGGTGGGACAAATCGAAGAGGAGCTGGGACGGTTGCTTCTCCGCACGCAGGTTACTCATGAAGGGGAAGCGTACTGCCCCAATCCCAACATAAAAAACCTGGCAAGATTCTGACAATCTGAGCCTCCTCCCGGAACTTGTGCTTCCATTCTGTACTTGTTTCAATCCCTTTAATTTGGTTGCTGTTGCGGGAGAAATACTTGGCTAACCATGACGGTGACGATGACAATCGCAGCCCAAGGAGTTCGAGACTCGAGTGAAGATTATCCAGAGATATCCTGAGATGCGAACCGTGCAGAAAATTGAGTACGTCAAGGAGATCCACCATGAGGAGCGCATCATCAGGGTGCCCAAGACGAGAGTGATCATGGAGGAGGTTGAGCACGTCGATCGTGTCCCTGCAGTGAGAGATGTGCCCAAAACGAGGATTGAAACTTTTCACAGGTGAGCTTGCGTTGCACAAAACCTACTTGAAAGGCAAACTGTCGACAACATAGCCTCGAATGTGCTTTTTCAATCCTGGGATATTTACTTCTACATTACTGGATAACTGCAGAGTGATCACTGAAGAGTGTGAGGTTGCAGAAATGGTGCCAGTGATTGAGTAAATGGACGTGCCAAGAATTTAGCACGTACCATGCGTGATTATTGAAGAGGTGGAGGAGAAAATCTCCGTTGCGGTGGTGAGGGAAGTGCCAGTAACGCGCATGGTGGAAGTACCAACTGGAAAGTAAGGACAATATTTCTTTTACTTCTCGTCTAGCTCGCTGCTCAGCAATTTCTGACGGTTACGTTAACATATCTTGGTGGGTCACCACTTATCCTACTTAACAGTTGCTACCCATAATAAATATATAATTCAATGATGTAATGTCGCAGCTCCTGCGAGGCACCTGCTGGCGAATTTATCAACCCAGGCCACTTCAATCTACTTGGTCACAAGCACCGCAAACACAAACCCAAGAGTCATAGCAGCCGTTTGCTACCAATGCTAACCAGAAGCAGCTCCTCGTCGTCATCCGAGGATGAGGATGGCGAAAGGACATGCGACGGCGCGGCCATGTGTGGTGCAGCGATCCACCGCCACGCTGATGGAACCACAACAGTGGATCTCTCCAATTCCAAGAGGAGAAACTTTTTGCACAGAATTATCCACCACTAGGTGGCTACTCTTTCAACTTCTGATTATAGTAACACGACAAAGAAATCGACTCATATCGTAAGAGATGTTTCCCTTCATGATAATACGACTCCGTCGAAGCTGGCTATTCATAGATTCATCGATAGATGCTATCACCCTGCTAGAAATTCTCAGTTGCGTGATTGATGGATATTCTTTGTACAACGATCAATCCTTCTACATTTTGTTGAAGGGGAATCTGCCATGAACTCTAATTTACATATATGTTCTCTTAACTTAATATTGAAGGCGTGTGGTGGAATTCGACCAAGTGATTGATTTCATTCATTTCCAACATTCACACTCTGATTGGTTGTATGCAAGTTGTCTTCACTATTTCGATGTAACTGAAACGAATGTGCTAGCTGCCGAATTCCCTGCAATTGGTTTGAATTTGTGATGGCTGGACGCGGCCATGGCCAGCCCAGAAAGACATTTATAAATCTGGTAATGGCGCGAGGCCACAACTTGCATGCCACCAGGGACCTCGAAAGCGACGCACCGGAGGCTTGGTGGGCATGAATGAGCTAGATCTCATCTCATCGCAGCTGTAGAAAGTGCAAATGGTCTTTGTCATTATACACCACATCTGTTGCCTGATATTTCCAAGATTGGATCTCAAAGGTATCAAGCAACCTTTTCCATCGATAGCTGCCATACTAATAAGATGACAGAACTATGCTATTATGTCAGCCGGCGCAGATATCAACCTTCCCTGAACTCTGGATTGCAATCTGAAGAGTTCAGCTATGGCGATCGCTGCAGCATCCAATCCCTTGCAAGAGCTTCACATCCGGCTGCAAGGTTCTACGGCATGGATGGAGGGTGTGCTTAAGGTAACTAAACCTGGGTTTGGTGTGGTAGAGCGGCGTTTCCGAGGTGGGCACAGTTGGTGACGGAGAATTGCGAGTGTTTTTGGGCGATTTGGAATGGGGCTCTTATTAGGATTGCACATTATCAAGCGTAGGAAAAACCTTGCATTTTATTGCTGCTCGTTTTTATCGAGATCTACACTGAATCTTGATGAGATTATAAGTTGGGGTTCGATGCGACTGGGAGTCGTAGAAATCGACGGATTTTCGAATCTTTCACATTTGCGCATTGGACATCTCATAGCCGTTGTGGTTGCGTACGGATTTTTTAATTTTGCTGCAAGGCGTGAAAGTAGACCATAATCATGCTATTTCTTATAGGATAATGAATTGGATGTGAGAACAGGGAGCACAGCAGTCTGTGGAGAAGTTGGGGTACTTGTTACATTCAGGTAGGGGCGATTCGACGAACCAAATTCGGTCTATTCTTGGAGTGAAAGACTCGCCTGTAGCAGAAACTGCCGCAGCCAAGGTTGAACAAAGTTTTCAAGACAGACTAGAGAGACAGCTCGCTGCATGGAGACGGAATAGCTCTTGGGTCGATGAGATTCCAGTTCTGGAGGTGGGTATCAGAGGCTGTCATAGCTTGCGAACATGGGTCTGTTTGTTTATTTTTGTTTGCAGCCGACGTCGGTAGAGAATGCCGTTTACATTTGTCTTTGAGTTAGTTCCTATACTGCTCCAGGACCTCATGGGAAATATGAAGGCTGCAGGTGACGGTACCAAAAGGAGCTTTGTGCAAATTTGATTCACATTTCGAACTTGGAATACCTCCAGATGCAGTATACAACATCCTCACTGATCCCGGCAACAAACGTGTTTTCAAAAATATTGAGGTGTGTTCATTTTTTATCTACACATAATATTTGGCAAGTGTGAATCATGTGAATGCTTAACGACTCACGCTTGGTTTTCTTCGGAGCGAGTGCAAGTCGCTCGTTGTCCTCTAGGTGGCGACTATAACCGCTTGTGCTCTCAGTGGGTTTAATTTCCGCAGATGAAACTTGAAAGATTGTTAATTGATTATTTTCTCTATTTTTGAAGGAGGTTAAGTACCGCAAGGTGTTACAAGATGATGGTGACCACCAGCTCGTGGAATTGGAGCAACTTGCGAGTTGGAGGTTTCTGTGGCTTTCTGGCACTCTGAGTGCCTGTGTTTTGGTGGATCAGGATAGGAGCACACATATGGTGATATGTCTGTACATTCTTAGGTCGGCTTTATGCGATGGGATGCTTCTCTTATGCCTTTTTTTCCTTTTCGCCTTTGATAGAGTTTGTCATGTTTAATAAGCAATCTAAGAATTGTAGTGCATGTGAATTGTTTGAGCAGGTGAAATACAAGCTTGCCAAAACAGGATTCATGAAAAGATTTGAAGGGACCTGGAAAATCGAGCCCCTGTTTCTTGATGATTCTGGCGCCCCTGTGCAAGTCCATGAACGTGGAACAGAACGTGTTGCGTCTATGGTCACCCTACAGCAGGTAACCTCAATTGCGTTGGTAAATTATATCCACTTAAGTTTGATATGTGCAGATTTCGTAGATGACCCATTCTTGCATAGATTTAAGTCAATAGATAAAGTAAAATAATCTCGGTTATTTATTTATTTTTATTTATTTGTATTTTTGGTTGTGGGGTTATTTTATTTTATTTTATTTTCTTTATTTTCATGAGAAACACAGATCTGGCAGCCAATGATAATTCCACCACCGCCTTTCGGTGGCTATGTACGCAACATCTCCACAAAGACAACAACGGATATGATTCAGGAACTGCAGGCTGAGGCAAAGCGGCTTCGTGAAGGAACACCAGAACCTGACAACAGCTTCAAAAGCCAAGAGTCGCCAAGACCCCAAAAAGCTGTGCTCTTTTCTGAGCAATGGAAGCTCTCAAAGAAGTCTGCTCCTGGACGTCGGAGATCGAGAAAAAGCCAATGGCGTATCAGGTCTGAATGAGGCTTCTACTCTTAAAGACGCCAGCTTCTACGTATCTTAGCTCACGTGCCGGGAATTGCAGCTGCTAGTTTCTGCACCCGCAGGTGAACTCATTTCAACTCTACACCACAGCGGCTTGAGATTGGGAGCTGCTCCCGATACTACCGAGATTGCTTGAAGCTCGTGTGCTGTTCAGGTGCTGTGGATTAGAGGCACGTTCACTTTGAAAGCACTCATCACAAGTCGAGCTATGGAAGAGCCACACACGATGTGAAGCCTGTGTACCCGAAGAAGGTGAACGTGTAAAACATTCAAACATAGAGAGAGAACGAAATATAAAAATTTAAACACTAGGTAGTCAAAAGAAGTTTGAACATTGGTTACAGGAAATCATGAACATTAGATGTGTACTTCTCTAACCAGTCTCAAACTCTCATTGATTCTGATTTGACGGAAAAGTTTCAATTTGTATCTCCTTTGTTTCAATATGTCTGACTAATTTGTTGATTGCTACAATCGATTGCTTGTGATGAGAGAATGTGTGGATGACTGGAATTTTTGTTTGATACTACAGTTTGAATGTCAATAAGTTGGAAACAATACATGTTCTTAAAGTTGTTTTGGATATCCTTCGATATTCGATTTAGTGCGCTTACTATCACTGCTTTTTGCTTACTGTTGCTTCTTATCTTTTGCTGATTCAGCTTGCTAATTCTCTTCTCTATGCACCTCCGTACGATGTCTGCTGGAGTATGCACACATTTAAAGCTCAAGCAGTCCCTATCATCTTCTTGTCTGAGTGATAGTATAGTCTCTACAAATCTGCATATCATCAGCGATAACATCTTTACCTTTTTGTCATCGTCAAGAGTTGCTAAGATTCTTTCTGTTGAATGTATGATGTTGCTATCAAGCGTAGTAGCATCTAGTTGTGATTCTAAAAGAAGTCCTTATACTTCCTTTGGATAATTTGTCCATGATAATATCTCTCGCTTTGCCCTGGCAATGGTCTTTCGAAGGACTTCCATTACAGCAAAGATGTTCACAAGATTGTTATGCGATAGAGAAACCTTTAGCACTCCATTGACTATATAGATTTAGCAATGACATTTTGATAGTTGTAGCTCACACTTTTCTTTTCGTGCTAGATACCTGAAGGTGTAGTTTCTTTGTTGACACATAAGGACCTTCCTTCTTCCTTCTATAACAAACGATCCTCTTATAGCTGATGCTTCCTCTAAAGGTTTATAGCAGCAACCAATAGGAACAGGGATGATGAGTACTACTTTGTCATCTGCTATGATGCTACATTCGTATGTACTTAGAGTGTTGATACACTCTTGATACCTCTTCTGATTGGAAGAGACATATACGTTGTTGAAGATCTTACTATTATCAACTGTTATGTTATTGATTAGATATACAATGTAGCGTATCATAATGTCATATAGCTTAACAGTACCGCTGTCCATTCCAATGCTTTCTATAAACCTTGAGAGATCCATTTCTTTTCCCTTGTATATACCAGGTGTGAGCATAACTACGAGAGCGAATATCCCATGTAACTATTTTCAGTTATATACGTATAACTTCTTTTTTGATTTTTTATACGATGTGTGCTAGTAAGTATTTACCAACACTACAATGGCTAGCCAGCTCAAGACTATATTCTTCTCATTCTATTCTACAGAGGAGATTACTCAAATATCTTCGATATAGATTAGTAACAAGGATGATATAGGTTCCCCCGCTCTAGGAACAGGAGCTTTGGTATACTGCTCCGTATGTTCTAATCCAAAACGTTGTCCGGGACATATAGGATTTATACAACTCAAAGAACCAATATTCAATCCATTATGTTTGAAAGAAATAATAAAAGTCACAGAGATGATATGTCCTAGGTGTAGATCATTTGACTCTATAGGGAAGATCAAAGGGAAGAAAGTATGTTCTAGCTGTAACGATCATGCAAGAGTGTACACGTTTGATCCAAAGAGGATTTGTCTTGTTGATAAGAAGGAACCAAGCTATACTATATCAACAGCTGTTCTGAAAAATATGTTTAGTGCTTTATCAAATGATCAGATATGGTTTATGGGCTATGACTTATCAAATCCTAAAGATTTCATAATGAATCATATATCTGTTGTTCCTAATTGCATCAGACTCTCTTTAGGACCTGAGGACAGCCTTGCTAGACTGTACAGTTCAATACTAAGAAATAATGGTAATACTTCTGTTGTATACAAAGAGTATTGTACAATAATAGGAAAGGACTCATTTGAAAACCATGAAGGATCTCTAATAAACAGAATATCTGAAAAGGAAGGTACATTTAGAAGATACATTCTTGGTAAGAGAAACAAGCATTGAGCAAGAGCTGTGATAACTCTTGATCCTAATATAGATATCGATGAAGTAGGTATTCCTTTGTCTTTCTGTAGTAATCTTAAGGTACAGAAAGATGGAGATTATGTACTACTCAATAGGCAACCATCTCTTCAACGAATGTCCCTTATGGCATTTAGAGCAAGGATGATGTCTGATTCTTGTACTATAAGGATCAACCCATCTGTTTGTCCAATGTTCAATGCAGACTTTGATGGAGATGAGATGAACATACTTTGTGCATCATCATAGCCATCTAAAGCAGAGTGTGATGTACTCCTTGCTGTTGACAAGTGCATTCTGTCACCTCAGAATTCGATGCCTACTGTAAATGCAATACAAGATACTATTACAAGAGCGTTTATGATATACAAGATGAATAAGCTATTAAGATGATCAACATTGCATGACTGTATCATGGTGTCTCATATTCATCTTGATATTACTAATATATGTACTTCAAGAGATCTCATACTCATGCTTATCAAGTTAATAAGCAACAATAGTAATCCAATGATCGAGTCGCTTATATCTAGTACAATAAAGAATATAATAAAGAGCATATTCATAAGCAAAGGTGGACGTGATACTTTAATGTCCCTAGGATCACTACAAAGAATTGTTGATGGCTGGCTTCTTGAAGAAGGATTAAGCATATGATATGATGATTGTGTAAACAAGGTTGGTCCTGTTGTAATAGAGGATGTAAACGTAGATGATAAGAATGTGGATGTCGTTCTTAATAATATTAGAAATATAAGCCAACGATTGATAGTAGAATCCATCGATAAAAATAATCCACTCTGCACAATGATAGAAAGTGGATCTAAAGGAAGCTTTGTTAATCTGGGACATATATCTTCATTAGTAGGTCAACAATGGATAAGAGGAAAAAGACCAGTGAAGGTGTTACCAAGTGATAGAGCTTTAGCATGGTGTAGTCTATACGATAGTTCATTACAAGGACAAGGATTTATTAATAGTTCATATTCACAAGGACTTAATCCTATCGAGTACTTCTTCTATTGCCAAAGAGGTAGAGAAGGATTAGTTAATACTGGTGTGAATACTTTTGATGCTGGATATATACAGAGACATATATCAAAGTCCATACAAGACGTAATAGTATAGTACAATGGTACTATAAGAGATGGTACAGATATTATATAATTCTGTTATAAAAAAGATAATGTAGACAACAGTAAGATATAATTTTTTTTATATATTTGCCACTTATTATGACATTTAGAACATTCGAACATTATAGTTATTCCTTCATGAGTTGATCTCTTCTGAACATCAATGGACATTGTTTTCTTACTTTTACATTTAGGACATTGCTTTGCACCTTCTTCTACAAGAGTTGTTGATTCTTTTGAGTCTGTATCAAGGAAGATGGTATTATCCTCATAATAGTTGATGCTTGGTACTTTAATGTCTCTTTTGATCATATATTCAACATTAAACTCATACTATTTGATCATGTCTTTGTCACTACCTTCTCGATGGGAAGAGTTCATTGTTTCTATGGCAGATGAGCTAAATGAGATAATAACTATCCCGAAAAGAGAGATAAACAATGGAATTATAATATTTCGAGCATTGAATGATGTCTTAAGGGCTTTCTATGAAACACCGTTGAGTGATGTAAGAGTAGTGATGCTCGGTTAGGAACCATACAAAGGTATTGGTAAGGCCAATGGGTTGTCTTTCTCTATCAATAAAGATTATCTAGTTCCTCCATCATTAACAAATATATTTAAACAGATATCTGATGAGATAAGAAGCTTCAATATACCTCCTCATAGTGATCTTACTAAGTGGTGCAAGCAAGGTGTACTACTTCTAAATTCAGAATTAACAACTGAGAGTGGATCAAGTAGGAGTCATGATGTTCTATGGCAACGATTCACAAAGACGTGTATAAGATTATGTTCTATAAAGGAAAGAGTAATATTTGTTTTGTGGGAAAAGACTGCATCTACCTTCGATAAGGAGATTGATACGTCAAGGAATACAATTCTTAAAGCAGCACATCCATCACCGTTTAGTGCAAACAAAGGATTCTTTGGTTGTAACTACTTTACGATTATAAACGATCTCTTAGATACTCCTATAGATTGGAACCTATGAGCATATTATCACTTGATGAAGAAGACGCTAAGAAATCATCAGATGTATTGCCATTCTCTATAAGGCACTTTGATATTGGTCCAGAGTTAGCAAGAGCTATTGAAAGGATACTGTGTGGTATTGAAGTTCGTGATATGAACGTAACACTTCTTGTTGCTGCAGCTGTTGTATTAACAAATTGTGGAGAAAGGATAGATGTGCAACTCTCTATGCTCTGTAACGATGTCATTAGTGACATTGTTGATATTGATCCAAACATATCTGGTTCTAAGTTTTATGATAAGACTAAAATCAAAAAGAACATTCTTAGATATTGTAGATTCATATTATCTAAGTAACATGATTCAAGTTATAAAAGAGATGACACGAGATAGAGGATATGTATCTAATGATGGTACTGCTGAGTTTGATGAAAGGATGGACCCATATGCAGGACAAGAGAATGACCTTGTGATACTATTGGCAAGAAACTTCATAGATAAGAATCCCTTCGAAGCAAATACAAATGTTCTTACAAAGAAGGACATATCAAACTTCATGCTTGAGTATTATAAATCTGTACAAGAGGACATCATAGAGTTTGCTATTATAATAGTAATGCCATCAAATACTCTTGATGCTTCTGTGTTTGAAGGTGATATATCTATGTATGGTATAACAATGTTTATTGAAGAAGAGCTTATGTTCAATCCTACATCTAATGTCCTTGTTCCAAAGCACTATATTGCATCGAGTTCAGAATTATAAAAAATGAAAGAGAAAGGAATATCTCATGATAGCTTATCAAAGATATATGCTGAAGATCAAATATGTAAGTGGTATGGATTTAAGAAAGGTGATATAGTAAGAATAGAAAGAGATTATTGCAATGAAATTTACTACAGAATAGTAATATAAAAAAGTAAAAAATATTAATGTAGAAAGATACTTTTTACACTGGTGTTATTTTTTTATGCCTATCAAGAGATATAGATTCTTATATGATAAAAGAG